ACGTGTGTATGTGTGCCTGGGGAACGTGTGTGTGTGTGCCTGGGGAACGTGTGTGTGTGCCTGGGGAACGTGTGTGTGTGTGTGCCTGGGGAACGTGTGTGTGTGTGCCTGGGGAACATGTGTGTGTGTGCCTGGTAGTGTTGTCAAAAATATCGATATTTCGATAAATATCGATACTGAAATATCTGAACGGTACCAATACTAATTTCCCGAAGTATCGATACTAGCCGAGCGGTCACTTTCACTTCTCTCCAAAGGCGCGTTGACAAACACCACACGTGACGCACTCGTCTCATTCGCTCTGGTTAAATAGCAAAAGTGAAGTGAATGGAAAGATTGCGAGGGTGGCGCCCCCGCGACCGGCTTTGGTTGATTGATAAAGAACACCGCGAGCGGGCATGTCGGAGAATACGCGGACACGCGCTTCACACTGTGAGCGGGCTGCGGGCACCCAAAAGATTGTTTGACTATCAATAATCCCTCACGTCACTCATTTTTTAAAATTATTTTATAGGTGAAAACAGACTTAAGGAACAGGCTCCAGGGGTAGCATTTAGCAGCATATGCTCAGCATCAGGGGTGTGTGTTGCTTGGACAGACCTGTCCCCACTGCTAAAAACATCCTAAAAGAAACACTGTAACTCTTCACATTTGAACTTTTCTGAAACATTAACCAAGATGGCCTAGTATTGTTGTTGATATGAGTCTGTGTTGTCTAGTATTTTCACCGTTTTCTTAAAGTTAACATAATCTGACTGAGGAATCTTAGACAAGTAAATATTGTAACTGTGGTCAAATTTAAATTAACTGGTGCCTATTTAACTTTATTCAAAAATTATTATTTAATTCTGCAATTTTCCTTCATTAGCGATTATCATCAATTTGATTACACAGATATTAATTAAACTAACCAGCTAGACAATGGCATCTCTGAATTCAATAATGACATGCCTTTAACTGAAAATTGAATGTTTAATCTTATTATTATACATTACTGACACTCTATCCTCCAATTTGATACTGTTAAGTGCTTTTTTGTTCCAGTATATTTTAATCTTTGATAACAGTAGGTAATAAAAATACAACAGATCATGTAAGCTCTGGTCCAATTAAAAAATATTAACAAATAGAACTCGGGACATTTTTGTTCATGTAAAATATACCTCATTGTCATGTTCTAGACTTGTTATATTTAGCTTTAAATACCAAAAATACCCCCTTAATATTGTGGCAATTTTTTTCTCTGTGGTATCGAAAATGGTATCGAATATCGATATTTTTCAAGGTATCGTATCGAAGTTAGAAATTCTAGTATCGTGACAACACTGCCTGGGGAACGTGTGTGTGTGTGCCTGGGGAACGTGTGTGTCCCTGGGGAACGTGTGTGTGTGTGTACCTGAGAAATGTGTGTGTGCCTGAGGAACGTGTGTGTGTGCCTGAGGAACGTGTGTGTGTACCTGGGGAACGTGTGTGTGTGTGTGTGTGTGCCTGAGGAACGTGTGTGTGTGTACCTGGGGAACGTGTGTGTGTGTGCCTGGGGAACGTGTGTGTGTGTGCCTGGGGAACGTGTGTGTGTGTGCCTGGGGAACGTGTGTGTACCTGGGGAACGTGTGTGTGTGTGCCTGGGGAACGTGTGTGTACCTGAGGAACGTGTGTGTGTGCCTGAGGAACGTCTGTGTGTGCCTGGGGAACGTGTGTGTGTGTGTGTGTGTACCTGGGGAACGTGTGTGTGCCTGAGGAACGTGTGTGTGTGCCTGAGGAACGTGTGTGTGTACCTGGGGAACGTGTGTGTGTGTGTGTGTGTGTGCCTGAGGAACGTGTGTGTGTGTACCTGGGGAACGTGTGTGTGTGTGTGTGTGTGTGTGTGTGTGTGTGTGTGTGTGTGTGTGTGTACCTGGGGAACGTGTGTGTGTGTGTACCTGGGGAACGTGTGTGTGTGTGTGTGTACCTGGGGAACGTGTGTGTGTGTGCCTGGGGAACGTGTGTGTGTGTGTGTGTGTACCTGGGGAACGTGTGTGTGTACCTGGGGAACGTGTGTGTGTGTGTGTGTGTACCTGGGGAACGTGTGTGTGTACCTGGGGAACGTGTGTGTGTGTGTACCTGGGGAACGTGTGTGTGTGTGCCTGGGGAACGTGTGTGTGTGTGTGTGTGTGTGTACCTGGGGAACGTGTGTGTGTGTGTGTGTGTACCTGGGGAACGTGTGTGTGTACCTGGGGAACGTGTGTGTGTGTGTACCTGGGGAACGTGTGTGTGTGTACCTGGGGAACGTGTGTGTGTGTACCTGGGGAACGTGTGTGTGTGTACCTGGGGAACGTGTGTGTGTGTGTACCTGGGGAACGTGTGTGTGTACCTGGGGAACGTGTGTGTGTGTACCTGGGGAACGTGTGTGTGTACCTGGGGAACGTGTGTGTGTGTGTACCTGGGGAACGTGTGTGTGTGTGTGTACCTGGGGAACGTGTGTGTGTGTGTGTGTGTGTGTGTACCTGGGGAACGTGTGTGT